TTAAACAAAGAGACCTTCTTTTACTACTATTATATATACTCACATTCGAACTATTACTAATTCTAATAGACAAAGAAATTGCAGATATCAAAGTTAATAATTATTATTTTAAATGTATAGCATATGTTGATAACTTAACTATTAGTATAGAATTACTCTCAGACTAAACAATAGTCTTAGCATTTCTAGAAAGATATAAAAAGTTTCAAACTCAAGAATAATAAACAGAAGATCTCTTTGATACCTCTTACTAATATAGCTAGAAGAGTAGAACTTCCAGAAAAAACTCAGTTCAAAAAATTAGAGAAACAAGACTTTGTTACAGTCCTAGATTATAGCATAAAAAACAATAGTTTATTCAAAAAAAAACTTATGGTATGAAACAATAAGCAAGTTGAAACTTAGTTTAGAAAAACTAGCTTATAGAAATTTATCTTTTAAAGAAAGAATTCTGCTAGCAAATTCATTAATTCTTTTAAAAGTCTGATATATAGCCTATCTACTACTACCTAGTAAAAAACAAATAGCAGAAATCAATAGACTTGTCATACTATAAATTAAAAGTAACTCCAAAATGTTACTAAGATATTTTACTTTTCACTTTTCTATAAACAAGAAGGATTATAAGCATCAATAGTTAGCAATTTACTAGAAGCAAAACTTATATCAGTATAGCTAAAACTAATCTCAAACAATTTCCTATGAGCAAAAATTGAAAAAAAAAATTTCTTTCTTATTGTATCAAAAAAGAAAGATTCTAATAGAAGATACACTGCTTGCATAGCCTATTAGATCTAAAGCTTGACTAATAGACTGAAAACCATATCTACTAGCATGAAAAAAGGTTAGAGAAAAGATTATAATAGAATCTAGCTAGCCTTAGAATCTAGCAGATCTAGAGATAGATAAGAAAAAAATCTCTAAAATTTTAGTAAAGTTTTTAGTAGAACTTCTAAGAAAATATAGTATTAAACAAATCAACTAAGAAGAGAATACAGATTAAATATATAACTAGATCTTTTAAAAAGTAGTTCTTAATAAGAAAAAGGATATATTATAGTAACTCTACTATAGAGCTTTATTACTAGATTACAGACTCTAATACTTTATAGCTACAGAATCAGAAAAATATCCTTAGTATTCAGATTAAATACAAACAATTAAACATCTAGTTACTAATTGTAAAATTAGTAAAATTATTTGAATATAAGCCTATAAACTCTTAAGAATAGATCAAATAGAAACTATACTATCTACAATTGAAAGAATCTTTCTCAACAATTATACAGGAAATATAAGAACTTAAATATACTATTGTAGCTTCATACACATGCAGTCTATAAAATTTGGTATATTTATATAGCTTATAAGTAGAGTGAAATAAACCACTCAGAATAAGCAATAGCAGCTTTAACTAAAAACAAAATTTTTAAAGAAATTAACTTACTTCATGACAAAAATTTTACAAAACCTATCTATAAAAAAATCTGTAAATATTTAGCTTAGCTTTTTCTAATATGTAAATAATACTTTTATAAACATTTTTAATAAAAAGAGTACTACATGTATCTCAGATTTTAAAAATCTAAGATAATTAAAAAAAAAAATTTTATGTTTCAAAACTTTTGCTTTAAATATTCTTAATAATAGCTCTCTAGATGTTATTGCAAAAGATATTGAAATTCTAGAAATTGACTTATGCTCAAAATATAATTAAGAACTTTTTTTGTATAAAATTAAAAAACTATTTATTATATTTACTTGTAGCCATATATTTTACTGTAATTGTCTTAAGCATTATATAAAAGATCTTCTGCAATATCCAAAATATATAATAAAAATTGAATCTATTGTCAATACACTAAATACTACTAATCTAATACAAATTTTACTTCAAATAATATCTGAACAGAGCCAGAATATAATAATCTCAGAAGCAATAGCACTTTGTGTCTCTAATTCTAACTTATTATATCTTTAATTATATCTAGACTATATAAAACAGGCTTAAAAAAGACTTAGTAAAGATACTACTAAAAATAAATTATTTAGTAAAAAACCAAAACAGAATAAAGAAAAAAGTGATAAAAAAGATTCTAATACTGTAAAAAACTTATTATAAAATTAACATCTAATATCTCTAAACAAAATATAGATATTACCTAGTAATAGCTACTAAAACTAATCTACTGCCTATTAACTTTCTAAATTTATATACTAAAATTACTTATCTCTACTGAAAGTGAAATCCAAAAACCAAATCAGAAGATAAATATTTAGTATTATAACTTTGGATTAGATATAGCAAAATGCTTCAAGTTCTATTATGAAAAATCATATCATGTAAATGACACTAATAGTGAAGTTAAAAAAGAAATTAAAAAACAACTTCCTAATAGTACTTTTGAAACTACTATTTGGAAGAAAAAAGAAAAAGCCCAAAAGATTTTTCATCTCTTTAGTAAGATAGAAACAGATAAAATAGGATGAGTGAAATCTTTTTCTACATTAATAATCTCTAAATTAACTGTAGATCAAATTAACTATATAATATCACAAATTCTAGATAAAACACCAACAGAATCATTTGTATAAGTCACATGAACATGACTTTGAGGTTACAATTATATGATTACTGCACTATGTATTGAATTTAGGTTGACATATAATAATTTATCAGTTTTAACTTACCTGTTATATTTTTTCATGTAATAAATTAATACATGATATATAAATTAATACATGACACTTATATACCTTTATTATGTAAAGAAAAATCTAAAGTTATAACTCTGGCTTATACATAATTTGTTTATAAACAGGTCACAAACACAACTACTACATATTACAGGTTTCTATAGTAAATGTTGGCCACATATATATTTCTTCAAAACTTGACTAGTCAAGCTATTTTTTCTGTTAATATATAATAATGAAAAAACATGATACACTTACAAATAAAAATTCTACTATGTATACATATTATTTTTTCTGTTAATGAAAAATCTAAATAACATATACATATAAAGAAAAGTAGTATATTTTTAAAGAGTGGAAACATGAGTGTAAGGTTTGTAATGAGTGTAATCACTATTTACACCTATATTGTAAAATATACAAAAAAGTAGCAGATGGAATATATAGATGATGTGAAAATAATAATTTTTTAAGGGAAGAAACGATAAGTAAAAGTTTCAATATAGATATTTTATGCAATCAAGTTCTTAACAAATCTATTATTATATAGTTTAAGCAGAATTCATATAACCTTATTGTGACATCGATGTTATGCCTCTTCAAAAATAAATAGTTTTTTGTTTTTTTATAAGCTTAGATAATAATCAACAAATTTGAATAAAAAAAATCTGCAGGGAATGTAACCTTGATTTTGTGATTAAAAATTTATTTCTACAATATATTGATTAGTATTGTCATTTTATCATATAACTATATATGACCTGTTGTATGACAATCTGATTGTTTGTATAAACTATAAAAAGGTGAATATATGACTATTTCCTGTTAAATAAATTTTTTCGTCCTATTCAAAAACTAAATACAACTATATCTACTGCTGGAGAAGTTCCTCTTTCTACAATCAATGAGGTTGAAAAATAGAAGAAAACAGAGAATCTGATAAATTTTTTACATATTCAAGACTTAGGACTGAATGATAATGATTTCAAAATTATTTATGAACAAAAATTAAAGGTCGAATCTTATCAAGATTTCCTAATTAAGAGAACAATTTTGACATTACTTAACACAGAACTAAATTTGTTTCAGTATAAATGAATAACAAATGCATCACAATATTGCTCTCTCAGGGTATAATATCATATGATAGGTAATGTTTTACTACTTGCATCAGTTATCATGATCAATTTGGATGTTAAAAAGTAATTGGAGTAGTAGATTTACTAAAAGACATGATTACAATATATGATAAATCAGAAACTAAAAAGTGTTATATACAAGAAAAATTCTGTTTATATATATAGCAAAAGTGATTGCATTACTATTTGTAATATACATGTTAGTGTTAACAGTAAAAAAAAGATACAAGTTAACTTTATTGACAACTGTGATTAGATTTATATTTAATCAATTGTTAGCATTTATGAATACAGTAACTAATATTATAAATTGTAATGCATATGATTTTTATTTCAAAAATTTGAATAAGATTATTATCAAAAATTTGCTACTATATATTTCATTATCTTTCAGAGTGTGGTTTTCATTCGATTCCACATTAGTTTTAGATACAATTTGCCTTTGTTTTCTTTTTGTGTTTTCTAAAAATAATTGTTTGACTATTTTCTCAATCTCAAGTGATTTGTTCTGCATTTGATCATCAAATTAGGTAGATATTTATTTATAGTAATAAAATTAGTAAAGAAGTATCGCTTACTTCAAGTAATTTGAGAATGTAGTACATATCTTCAAGCATCCCAAATTCATCTTCATCTGATAGTAATCTGCATTAATTAACTAACTCAAATCAGTATATACCAGCTCTTAACTAGTCCATAATATAAAATTAAGTTCTAAATTTATATTTAAAAGTAGAGTTTATTAGCAATTAAACCAGGCTTTATAAAATAATGTATACATAACTTACTGAATTGAAGCCACTCATATATAATTAAATTTGTATATACTTATATTTTTTTAGAAGTCTGTTTATGTTATCTCGCATCATTATCATAAACTTTATCTTATCAAGATAATGCTTTTTATGACAAGCAGTAGGTATTCCAAATGGACCCAACCCCTCTAACACCTCTCCATAGATAATTTCAAACTTATTGGATGTTTTGATAAGAGTATCTTTCATGTCAACGTGTCTACCTATTCTTGCTTTTTAAACAGACTTGCCTTTTTATTATGTGTATAATTTGTGGATAAAGCTTGGATTTCTCCCGGAATATATAGAATAGTTATTATTAGTTCTGAATATTTGAAATATACTCTCAAAGACAAAGTAAATAAATGATCTACCAAGTATTGTTAATATTATCAAAAGTAAATATCTCATGAAATAGAAGAAATGTTGAACTCATTTTTAATTCTTCCCTCATTATCATTCCTTGAAAACTAGATGCATCGCTTTTCCTGTACAGAGATTCAGGGTCAGCTAGATTAAAAAATATAATCAAAAAATATATACATACTTAAACTAGATGTTTGCATCTAGTTTTTTGATATCATAATTATAATCTACATTTTTTATACAATTAGCATCAAAGTATTCTTGTACATTCTTTTCTAGTAGCATTGTTTTCTAGAAAATTTTATCAGCAAATTCTTGTGAAAGTTGTAGTATGGCTTCTTCCGTGAGATTTTTACAATCATATAAACTTTCTCCAGTTAAGTCTAGAATTCCCTAATATGTGGGACTATTGGATCAAAATGATAGAATGTATCAGTAATCATGCCATTATTAAGAAAATAATAAATGTCATAAAACATATGTGAAAACTCTACAAGTTTTTGGAATTGTTTTTTGATATTTATAAAAAGATTCAACAATGCCTGCATCAATATTTTTTTATTGATCCTATTGAGGGTAATATAATGAACCTACTGAAAATATATATTTCTAACTGTTAAACATTAAATTTTACCTTTGAGACACTATTACTGCTAACTTGAAGCAACATATTCTCTTGCTCAAGTACTTTTTCATTAATACATTCCACAAGGCATCTTCATTTGATTCATCAAATAGTAATGACAATTCTTCATAATTCAAGTCATCATCATCTCTTTTTCTTTTTAAATTATTTTTACAGGTTGACTTTCTATTCTCTTTGGGTTCTTTAACCTTTTTTGAACTAGTGCCTTTAAAATAAGCATTAGCAATATTATCATTTCTTATCTATTTTACAGAAAATTTATTTAAATACCTTTATATTTTTGTTATTTTAATGCGTTATTTTCTGTAAGTATATAGTTTGCAGTACTCTAATTTTCAATAATTTTTGTAATTGTTTTTCATAGTAAGTGACCTTGATTTTGTGTATCTTTTGTTACATCTAGAATGTATAAAGACTAAAATGGATATTTCAGTTGCAGGTCAAGGCAAGATTTTAGGAACTAAAATTCTAACCTCTTCGAGAGAAATCAAATTCTCCAGTTGTTTCTTTTTCAGATCTATCTAATATTGTTTCACTACCACTGAATCAGCTTGTTCCTAATTTATAGAGTTTGATAAGTAGCTACTTCTAAATTATTTTGGAGAATATGTTGCACCAAAGGGACATACACAACATAGAGGTCATAATTCCACAATACAGAGATTAGGAAGTAGTGTGAAATCTACACCAGCACTAAAGCAATCCTCTATTGACACAGAGGTCGAACAAAATAGCTTCCTCGATAACACAGAGATCACAAGAAGATGGGATAGCATAATAGCAAGCTAACAAATACTCTCTATTGATGTACGACACAAAAGTCAAGTAGAAAAATTAGGATAACTTTATCTTAAAATGTTTAGACAAGCTTGCACATGAGTTCTTCTTTCTGGCTTGATAGTATCTGTCTTTAGAAATGAAACTAAGTGTTCCTTTATACAAACTGTAGGCTTTATCTTTTTTTGTTAGATGCTTGTGTTTCAGGAAGCTAAGTAATAAGTAGTAAGTTAAATCTTCGAAGTACGTATCAGTAGACATAGTTTAAATTATACTAGAAAATGAGAACCATTGTATGATATCATCATAAATCATAATCATTGGTTGAGATCATGTACTAAACAGAGAATTTTATATGACAGAAATTTTTTTATAGTAAGTAGTATTACTATTAGTTTAAAAAGGCATTATACAAATAGTACTGGGTTTAGCTCTAATAGTTACCTTGAGTGGGTTTTATTAACAAATTTTATAGAAGTTAATTGTTGTATATTGATTATGTTCACGTAGGTTTACAGAAATCAATTAATCAAAGGTATCAGATGATTAATTTGATGGAAATGATTAACTGATTAATAGAGGCAGTGATATATTTAAAGATGACATAATTGATCGATTTATTAAGAATCAGTGTTAATCATGTAATTTGAAGGTTTAATTATATCAGTTAAGTAATGAAGTAATTAATAAAACTTAAGGAATAACAAAAAAATAATAAAAGAAAATTATTCATTAAATAAACTTTAAATAAAATACTTAAGAAGTCGATTTCTAATATTTTACTTATATTCAAGATATCAAAGTCTGAGAAAAACTTTATTAATGAAATTTTGAGGACCTTATATACATATTTTCTAGACTATAAATGCAAGATGAAAAAATATTTGTTTTCTTGATCTGATCAAAGATTGAAAATATATTTTTATAAAAATGCAATTTCACGATCTTTTATTTTTACTGGTTGTCTCTTTAATCCTTATCTGATCAAGTAATTTTGAAAACTGAATTATAATCTACTATAGCTAATTACTAATTAAGATGATTCAAGAAATTCTGATATAAAATAAGGTAAGATAAGCTAAAAATAAATAAATAAAAAAAATTATACAAAAAAAAAAATTATATAATTATTGTTTTAACAAGCCGGAAACAGGTTTATAAAGTTATGCTTCTAAATTAATCAGCATAACATATTCATCTCTTGTTTCTGAGCCTCTATGAAGATAACCAAGGATTCTAGGCTTGACATGGTATCAAGTTCTTTAATAATTTGAGTCTTGTCTACTAGTTTCCTGAAATTTTTATCTAATAACTTATTTAGACTACCAGTAGTAATATGTTAGGCTGCAAAAAGATTATATATGTCATATATACTATATAATTTGTATATATATGAAGTCAAGGATAGTAAATGACCTGATCATTTGATCAAAATTTAAATGATCTCTAGTCATCAAATAATAACCAGGTCATTTGGGTCATTAGGTCATTTAGGTCATTTACATATAAAGTAATTTTATTAGTCAGATATCTAATATAAAAAATTATCAAATGATATTATTTCACTATTGATAATAGTAGCTACATATAAAAGTCAAAATTTTATTAAGCTAATCGATAATTTCATCTTAGGTAAAGTTGTTCAGGAGAACAAATTGAATATAATCTGAAAATTTTGTATAATTTTAATAACTTTTTATTAAGTTATTTTTATGCTTTACGTTTATACAAAAAAAATTAAATTGTTTCATATAAACGTAAAATATAAAAATAACTTAATAAAAAGTTATTAAAATTATACAAAATTTTTAAATTATATGCAAATTGTTCTTCTGAACAACTTTACCTAAGACGGAATTATCGATTAGCTTAGTAAAATTTTGACTTTTATATGTAGCCATTATTATCGGTCATATTTTATAAAAATTAATAATCAATTTTTATCGGCAAATTAGATTATCAATTAACAGAAGTTAAATGACCTTCTTAGGTCATTTGTGTTTTGAAATGATCAATGACTAGTCATTTGTTATTTGAGTCATTTGGGTCATTTCAAGTCATTTACCATCCCTGATTGACGATATTATAAATTATGATAATCGCGGAGCTCCTTAATATTTATCATCTCGGCTAATTACTCTATATTAATGTCATACACGTACGTACGTACGTAATCCGTAATATAACAATAATAATCGATTCGATTTTCCTAAATAAAAAAAGATCTCAGAATCATCTTTTGATCTCTATTATATTTTAATTACCACGACAATAAAGATGTTAAACATTTAATAAACCAATAAAATTAGAGATATTTTAGTTCTAAATTCAAATTTTATAGATATATAAGTAAATTCAATTAAACTTCTTCTTGATAAGAACTTACATATAACAGAATGATTCTTCTTAATTGTAAATTAATATCTTACTACGTGTATATATAACTTTGTTTGTTTAATGATGCCTATTTGATAAGCATTCGTTTTTTTATAAATAATATAAGAACATTAGACTGTATATAAAGTTATTTTGTCGTATAATCTGTTGATAAAATATTTATCCAGGTCTAAACTAAATCTTACTGTGTCGCACAATTTTTATTAAATTTAGGGGTAGCCATATCTACCATCAATGTACGTACGTACATACCTGTATGAACGTATGTTACATACATACGCACCTGTGCGAACGTACAAAAATTTCGGATATATATACCCAACTATACATCATTGTTCATTTTATCCTAAGATTAGCTGTTCTTTTATTTAGGCTATTCAGGTTAATATTTAATTTTTTCAATAATTTTAATTCATATCAAATTAATTGTTCCATAAAATAGTGATGATAAAAGACACTGTGAACAATAAGTTTGCTTTTGATCTTGGCTCGATAAAAAGCAAAAAATATGGCAAAGCTACAATTTCTGGACATTTTTTACTCATGATTTCTTATATGAAGTTTTGGGACATTAAAAAGATAGATTATAAAGAAGAAGAAGATAAGCTAATTGATTGGGTTATTAAAATTTTGAAGGTTACTGATGGCCAACGTTTAAGGTGTATTCAAATGTTGAATGTTACATTGCTGTCCGTTCTTACTAATCCCAATATTCACCCTGCAAATCTCAAATTATGTTCGTATTCTTTAGTATATTCTTTTCTTCTTAACAATATTATGGAAAATTTAAGGCATACTGAGCAATATGAAATGATGGAGGAAATAGCTCGTATTCTTATATTAGTTATTGAGAGAAATTTTAAGAGTTTGAATGAAGTGCTGATATTAAATAATCCTCTTTTACGACCTCTCTGTATAGCTATTATGGAAATGCATCAAGAAGCTATCAAAATTAATATAAATATATCTTATTATATAGAAGAAATGATTAAACACGTAAAAGCTCAAATATGGAAACTAAACTATGAAATTGATTATGCAATTGAAGATAAATATGAGTACATAAAAACTTCTAGTGTTTTCACCAATGTTTGGCTTGAAATTAATCTTAT